CTACTTCAGTTCTCTAGAAAAAAAAATATTAAATAGTTGATGGTCAGGAAAGCTAGAGCGCCTTAGGCTTCAGGAACACAAAATAGTCGCCACACTCTTGGGAGAGGCAATTGACCTTAAGATAAATCAGAAAAATCTTTACAGCGCTTTGTGCTACAATTAAATGCCATAAATCACTGTGCATAATAAACCAAAAACATATTCGAGATAAAAAATTAAAAAGTCCACTGAATCATATACCACCACGTGGATGTCAAATTGTTTGCAAACACAAGGGGCGTTTCCGTGCAGTCTTCAACAAACAACCAGATGGAGAAGACTACCCACTACAAGTCAGTCATAATACGCTTGTTGTATTTATATGGCACCATACACAACTTCTTAGGATTAGATATTCCACTTATCCTCCAGCCATATGCATCATACTAAATAAAAGAGGAAGTAAAGGGAGACCACCATAGTGTAAAAAACCGTAAAAATACTTTTAATATATAAAAGCATTGTAGTCTACTCACACATCTAGTGCTATCCCAGCACTTGGGTAAATATGCATGTAAATTCAAACACTCAGCTTCCCACTCAAAACAGTATTTAGTCTCGGGTCTATAGAATCACTTCCAGGTGTAGTGTTGCAGGATGACGACACTTCCTGGCCCACACCTACTCAGCGTTTCATCATATGGACATTTTCAAGAGGCGTGTCAGGAAGTTGTCCTACCCATCTTTTTTACCGCTCTGTTAATCCTCCATGTACTCCTTCCAATGTTTACACAAGCATATTGTATTATTTATGTGGGTTCATCTAAAAGTGCCAGGAAGTGTCATCCCACATGCTACACCCAGAAGTGATGCTATACACCCGGGACTGAATACTCTTTGGTGTAGGCAGCTGAGTGTTTGGATTTACATGAATTGCAATTCATCTGATCACTCTTCATAACATTCTAGAGTATATGCAAATTGCCATCATAAAAACTGAGAGAAACAGACTTTGACACAGATATTCATTTTCGCATTCTCAAACTTTTGGCCAGGGCTGTACAACAAGTATATTATGACTGACCTGTAGTGGTTAGTCATATCCATCTGGGGCATTCTCTGTGTTGGTGGAGGAGCACTGGAGAATAGCACTGCACGTAAACATCCTTTTTTTTTTTGTTTGATGCACAAACAATATAAGTCTATATTTGTATAAATATGTATATTTATTTTATCTCGAATATGTTTTTGGTTTATTATGCATGGTGATTTATGACATTTGATTGTAGCACATATCACTGTAAAGATTTATTTTGATGATTTAGCCTAGGTTCACACTACAGCAGTACGGTAAATCCCATGTGATTCGCACAGGAACCGCATTTCTGTACAAATCACGTGATTTGTATGCAGTGCGATTAGAGCCATACATTTTGTATGGCTCTATTCGAACTGCACCCGCACCAAAAATGTGCAGGACCCTTTTTTGGTTTACACTAAAAAATCGAATCGCATAGGTATCCACATCTATGCAATCCGATTCTGCACGTCGCACCGTGTTTTGTGGACCGATGTCGGGCTGTTGTTAACTCAACATACACACCCGCATTGGTTCGTATGAACTGCGACTGTGATGCGGAATTCGCACTGAAAACTGTGCGAATTCCACACCGCATCAGTGTGAACCAGGGCTGAGATTGTAAGAGCTCTTGTGCATATGAACATTCATCCCAGTGCAGGTGTATAATATATCTTAAGTGACCTTAAGAGTCTCAGTCACTACCTGTATAAGGCTGTCCACGCATTCCTTATGTTAAGAGGTAGTATCCTAACTATGTAAAGCACCATCACAAGGAGAGGAAAGTGTCTGCACAAGAGCCATTAAAATGTTTCTTTAGCTTCCACAGCAAAATGCAAAACTAACTTGTAGGAACTTTTAGAACAGTACTGCAGATTAATTTTAGGCAAGTTGCACTTGTATGCAACAAACTGCTTCTATAATTCTATACACTGACAAATAAATAAAGAGGGATGCTGCTACAGTTTTGCATCAATTTAGTGCTGCAAATAAGGCCGTTCCTGCATAGAAATTAAAAAGGCAACAATTTTTAACTGTCAAATTCTGTGACACTCCACAACAGTAACTATAAAGAAAATAATGGGTTTCAGATTTTTGTGTAGAAACAAACTTTTACTGGTCACCCTTCAACACTTTTAAAATACCTGCTTTCTGGCTGCTTTAAGGCTTGTTGCACTGAAATTAGATGCATTGTTGTCTATGGGACATTGCACACAATTGGGTAAAGATCAGCAATACAGAGTTGAGTACACAGCAGTAAAACAAAAATAGAACATTTTTCATTTGAGTGCAGTCATTTATTTGCGTTTACTTGTTTAGGCCCCTTGCACACGAGAGTCATAATTTACTAATTTTTTACTCAGGAACTTGTGATGCCCATGTGCAAGGGGCCGAAAACGGTGTCTAATGACCTGAGTAAGATGGAGTAAAGGTGTATAAGCATATAGATGAGTAACATTTTTCTTCATTGCCAGTATTGTGGCTCCTTGCACATGGGCGTCACAAGTTCCTGAGTAAACATTAGTAAATTATGACTCCCGTGTTCAAGGGGCCAAAGGGTGTGAGCACAAGGAAGAGACTTGAAACTGTGTCAGCAACACGAGGGCAAAAATAATTTGAGCAAAAATTGCGAAAACTATGTTCATAGCAACAACATCTGGCAAGTCAGCACAAATCGCTGAAAATATTGGTTTGGGCATATCAAATCACACCTAGCAAATCAGCCCACTCTTTCAAAGCCTGCTTTGGGTAGTTTGATTGATTCATCACTAATGGTATCTGCTTCAAACCACAAAATACAACCGTTAGTTACTGATAACGGTATTTCTGCGTACCTTCCAGGATGGCACACCTCAGATATGAGAGGTTCCTCTCTACAGGAAACACAATCAATTGACAGTTGTTAAAAGTCCCTACCCTTCCCCTTGATTCTGTTTGCAATAAAGCAACTCCCAAACCAGTCCACAAGGGGAATAACTCTACCTAGGTACTCACCACTTACTACTTTTCTCCCCCCTTAATAGGGTGGGAAGTAGGCCTGCCATCCCGGAAGGTTCGCAGAAAACACTTATCAGTAAGGAACGGTTGTATGTCTCCTCTCACCTTCCAGTACGGCACACTTGAGAGGATAGTCAAGTATCCGCAAGCCTACCATAGTGTGGGACCACTGCCTGCAGGACCTTCCTGCCAAACGCCAGGTCCTGCTTTGAGTGTACCTTCACTATATAAACATCCGATGAAGATATTTTGGCTGGATCCTATGGCTGATCTGTCAATCTGTCCACTGACGTCCCGACTAAACTTTCCACCTGGATGCCGGATCTAGTAGAGTTTGCTCTTACTCCAAAAGCTGATGGAACCAGAAGAAACTCTGAATTTCGAAGGTTAGAGAGGTCCCCTGTCTAAACCATCTAGCAATTTCTTGCCTGTAACCACTTCTTAGAATCCCTCACAGGACTAAGCAGTAACTTGTTCTGTGAAACAAGGACACTACTTGGGCAAAGAGGATCCTGCCTAATGCTGATTTAGGAAAGGCTCCGACACGCTTTGTGGAATCTCCCTTTTTTTACCCCCATAAAAGGCAACACACATATGGGTAACAGATTTGAAGTAAGCTACTTGGGCTCAAAAAAGGCTGGACAGGTATGTACCCAACCACACCCATACCTATGGCTTCCTCACACATGAATGCTGGTATGCCAGCAATGAAAGTGCTCTATATAAACCCACCAAAGCTCCCTAAACACCTGCAGTAGAACACAAATAAATTAGGCAGAAAGGAGCTTGGTACATAATGACTGGAACTATTCCACAAATATCAAGTTCCTGTGTGATGTCTGAATCCTGATTCCATTCCAACACCATTAGGTGCCTATTGGTACCGGTGAATGTTAAATTAAGCAGATCCCCGTTTCCCAAGATAAAGTCCGTATCAGCAATCGGACAATTATATCAGCTTGCTACATCATGTTCTGCACAGAGGACACATCTAGAACCATAACCTACCAGACTAGGTATACAGGTCAGATTGGTAAGTTCTGATACATTGGGTCATACTTCACTGGGTAACTTCAGAATTTCTGCCTTATGGCAGTTTTTTGTGGTTCTTCCCATAGAAGTAAATTCTTGTACTAAGAAAGGTGATTCCATAGCCTTCCTCCAATGCTACATGACTTAAATTATATCCTCTAACCCTATCAGTTTGCAGGCCCAGGGAGTGCCTCTGGTATGCTTAAATGTAAGGAACTGGCCTCTGAAGTCTCTGCAGCCAGAATTCCTTCCAGAATACCATCCGAAGAGTCACAAGAGGAGGATAGCGGCCAATTTCACCCATGGTGTTGTCCTTCCTGGAAGGCTGCCAAGTTAAGCCATGTGTCCCACACATACCTCTCCAGGAACCCAAAAACTTTCCCAAAAGAATGGAAGGGAAGGACATGGACATGACAGACAGACAGGGGTGGCTAGCAGACAGCCTCTCCCTCCCAGAGAGAGAGAGAGAGAGAGACACTGACTGTACAGTCTGCAGCAGTGGCGGAACACACTCCCCTGTGTCTAAATCGCCGCTGTACATCCAGGGCAACCCGTGAGAGACACTTGGCCTGCAGGATAGTTCATCCCTCTCTGGCCTCCCTTTGCCTGCCTCACAGGGGTACCATCCAACTCTCCCTGGACTTCTGGTCAGTGAAAATAACAAACGTTCTGCTGTGTAGGGAGAAACACATCAATACTGAGGGTCAAGGGGAAGGGTGGGGACAATTAATTGTGTTTCCTGAAAATGAGATTACTAACCTGTAAATTACCCCTCTGGGGAAAAAAAAAAAAAAAGTTTAAAATCAAAATTAAGGGTTTGCAGTCATTACACATTCACGTCCAAATGATAAAGAACCCTCACAAATCAGTAAAATTTTCTGTTTTAATCTTAAAATCAATTAGTGCAACTCACCTCAAAACGAGTCTTTATGACAGTGAAGGGTAACATGCAAACTCCTGCCACTGTTCTGGATCCTGCTCCCAAAAAAACTGATTCCAGAGGGCTGATCTCCTTGACTGAGAAAAGTTGTTGTTTCAGGAAATAGAGGGTACTAAAGTAAATGCCAACTCCAGGAATACATCGTAGAAAGGACTGCAGAAACAAAGAAAGCATTAAAAAAAAAAAAAAAAATCTTCAAACCTAGCAAAGTATTACACATTCAAATTATGAGGGTTTAAGAACAAATTATACCTTTGATACAACCGTCCTTTAATCAATTCCCCCACCACTTTTACTGCAGCACACATTCAAATTCTTTCCTCCATCTGGCGATATTCACTGTGTGGCCCTGCCGATTGCTGCATAGCCCTTCAAGCAAAAAATGTCCCCTCAGCGTCTTACTCTTGGTGTACATGCATGCAGCAACCCCATTTATTCCCATTAGTAAGTGGTACTCATTTATTCATATGGGGTAAACTATACATGTGAGGTGCCAAAAGGTGGGAAGGGGCAGGGACATGAACACTAAAAAGTTGTGCAGAGATGGGCACACAACGGTCACTGGATCAAACAGAAAAGTAAATATTTGAGCTGGTAGGTTGCCCTCATGGGTTGGCAAAATTGATTAAAGGAAAATTGCTCTGAAAGGTACACTGGCCTTTTAAAGTTGAACTCCAGGAACAGCACAAATTAATACTAGTTGTGTTTATTAATACATCATAAATTGTAGTCAGTATAAGTGTTGTAGAGCTAAGAGTGGGAACAGAGGAAGCAGTTCAGATCAGATCATGTGCTGACAAGGAGCATGGTGACAAGACCAGAAAGGTGAGCTCAGCAATATGCGGTTTCTTCTTTGCTGTCCATTCACAGACTAGGAGTGGGTCTATGCCAGCCTAGGCTCAGAGGAAGTGGGCTGAAAGATAATAGCGGTCATTAACCTAGAACACACAGGAGGACATCTAGCTGTAGAAAAAATAATGTGTAGAACAGCACCAGATTGAAAATATTGCAGCAAAAGCTCAGTTTCAAATCTATTTTGAATTGAATATTAATTTATTTTTGACCAAAGTTCTACCTTGAATGTAAAACTCAAAAGGAAGATCACATTCCCAATATTAGTTTGCCAAGACTGGTTTCCAAGTGCATCGATCCAGGGGTGCCAAATCTTATAGAATTTTTTAGGGCAGACCCAAATATTGTATTGGGTGTCCCTAAAAAAAAAAAAAAAAATAAAAATAAATAAAAAATGCATATTTTCAATACATTTCTATATATTTTTCAACTTTTTAATTCATTGGAAGATTATTTCCACCATTTGTGATGCAATGTTCCATACACTTTTCTAGATTCACATGAAGCTGATGCAATATCAATTTGAGCACATTCGTTCATGATGCGTTCAATTGATTCATATCTCTTTTTTTTTGGAGTGTGCAAAAGGAGGTGTACTCAAAGAAAATAAGTCAAGGGAGAGCAAGCTTACAGTCATGGCCAAAAATATTGGCACCCCTGCACTTCTGTCAGATAATGCACAACTTCTCCTAGAAAATTGTTGCAATTACTAATGTTTAGGCATTCTCATGTTTATTTCTTTTGTTTGTATTGGTATGACATAAAAAAGTGGAGAAACAAAAGTCCAAATCTGACACATCCACGCAAAACCCCAAAAATGGACTGGATAGAATCATTGGCACCCTCAATAGAATATTTGGTAGCATACCCCTTGGAAAAAATAACTGAAATCAATGGCTCTCTTGACCATCAGATTCTTACAAATCTCTACTGGGATTCTTGACTACTCTTCTTTCGCCAGCTGCTCCAGGTCTCTCAGATTGGAAGGGTTCCTTTTCCCAACTGCTGTTTTGAGATTTCTACACAGGTGCTCTATGGGATGGAGATGCTGTCCATTTCTGGGTACTTTTTGATGAGTGCTTTGGTCATTGTCCTGCTGTAAGACCCATGACCTCTGACGGTTACCCCAACTTTCTGACACTGGGCCATACATTGCACCCCATAATTTTTTGGTAGTCTTAGATTTCATAATGCCATGCACACGGTCAAGACATCCAGTGTCTAACGAAGCAAAGCAACCCCAAAACATCAATGAACCTCCACCATGTTTGACTGTATTCTTTTATTTAAAGGTCTCTTTTGTTTTTCTGAAAACAGTAGAATTACGGGCTTTACCAAAAAGCTGTAATTTTGTTTTGCTTGCCCACAGCACATCCTCCCGAAAATATTTTGGCTTCCTCAGGTAAAATTTGGCAAACTCCAATCTGGCTTTATGTTTCTGTGTCAGCATTGGGGTCCTCCTGGGTCTCCTACCATAGTGGCCCCTTTCATTCAGATTGCAACATATAGTGTGAGCTGACACAGTTGTACCCTGTCTCTGAAGGTCAGCTTGAATTTGTCTGGAAGTTGATGGAGGTTCTTTATTCATCATTCCAACAATCCTTCGTTGCAATCTTTAATCAAGTTTTTCTTTCATCCATGGAGATTATCTACAGTGCCATGAGCTCTAAACTTCTTGACAATGTTTCGCAAGGTGGACACAGGAACATTAAGAACTGTTAATTGATACATGTGAGTTTAATTACAAATGACAGGAGCATCGCAAACTTGGAATTAAATTATTTCTTAAAATTTGAATTTGGGTAGACTGACATTAATTAGCCTCTTTAATTGGGTAAACCGCATAGGGGTCTTGCTCTTCCTTTTAGCAAAATAAGTCTCTACACATAAAATAGTATAGAATGGATTAGAGTTTTAAGGTAATTCTAGGGCGTCTAGCAGACTGACCTCAAGGGTTTTTTGGTCCCTGAAACCTAATTCCATCTCCACGAAAGGAAAAACACTTGGTCTAAAAATTGCAACACAAATACATAACCAAACATGTAGGGTATACACAGGTGAAATACAATGTCATTATCATGTAGCTGTAGTGATTTCTAGCATTACATGTTATGGGAAAATTTCATTTTTTTGACAGTTGTCAATTACTGTACATTTTGCTTTGGGTCAGTACATCTATAACTCATCAAAACACAAAAAGGGGCACATTCTTTAAAGTGTTCTACTTTTTTTTTAGGTTTTGGATAGACTAGGGCAGGGTTAGGCAGCCTGCGGCTCTCTAGCTGTTGTGGAACTACATTTCCCATGAGGCATTTCAACATCACAAAACTGACAGTTACAGCTATGACTTGCAGAGGCATAATGGAACCTTTAGTCCTGCAACAGCTGGAGAGACGCAGGTTGCCTACCCCTGGACTAGGGGGATTAGAATCCCTGTCAGGTTTTTATTTACCCAGCACTCAGAGAATTTCCCTTAAGCCGATTTCACACTGCTGGATGAAAAGTGGACATCAATGCATCTCTATGAAAAACTGGTGTAAATGAATGATCATTATCCAATTACATCTGCATTCACCAACACCTGTTTTTTTTTTTTAAATGGATCAAAACCCTATTTTTGTTCCATTTAAAAAAAAAAAAAAAAAAAAAAAAAAAAAAAGGGAGGACATAAAAAAACAAATGTAAATGGACAAATGGCATTTCTGCATTGGTAGTAGATTTAAAAACGTATCCTTTTTTTCTATGAAAAACGTGACTGAACCGATTAAAAATAAAAAAGGACCGCCCGTGTGAAAGGACCGTGATTTACAGAAAGTAAGGGAAATTCGCTTTAATGGAGCCCCAGAGTACAGAAAAAACCAACAGGGGTTGTAGACCTTCCCCACTCTATTCAAAACGAATAAAAAGCCTTTGTCTGGACATAAACTTTAATGCATACATGTGATAAGCATGGAACTACTAAAATTCAAGTGTGTTTTGGTGCACAATCTAGAAATATATTATAACACTGATTTTCTTGTGTGTGTGTGTGTGTGTGTGTATAGTACAGTAGCATATTAGCTGTTATTTACCGGAGAGACTCCTTTCCATAATCCAAATAGGTTTTCATTACGAATTACTTTGAGAAAGAGTTGGAACATTCCAACACGGTTCCTAAAGAGAAGCAAATCATCAGCTTCAATATATTGTGAATTTGAATACTTAAAGAATGCAACTGTTATGGAACACTAATTTCAATATAGTGTTTCTAGGTAAACAGTAAATGCTTATTTTGTATGTATGAAATGCAATTTTGCATTTTTATGAGGTGCACCAGGTAAGCCACGGATATAATTTGGGGGAAAAAAATGTACAGTGAACTGAAGTTTAAATAGGAAGTTTATCCCATATTTCTTTTTCCCCGCTTACCATATTTCCTTCTGTTGTGCACAATCCACACACTCGCCTCCATGCCAATGTCACACACTGGGTCCAATGCCACCATTGTCGGCAGCAGCCAGATGCTTCTTTCTGGTCCAGACAGCCCAGCCCCCTGATGACATGCCATCTTCCAGATGATATATAGAACCTAAAGCATCGTGGGATATGCGATGTGCATATCCCAGGATGCTTCAGAGAACAGGTGACATTCTTGCCTAGGTGAGAATGGCAGCTAAGGGGGCATAGCGAACAAAAATAAATTGTGTAATATATATTTATTTTTTTTTCTTTAATGGTGCCTAGTGCGACTATTGGGTGAAGCTCTGCTTTAAACAGTAACTCCACTTTTGTTGAGAAAAAGCAACCCCCCTCTGGGTGGTCAATGTACTGTATATTGCAAGGGTTTTAACAAACTTTGTTGCAGATTCCTACCTGTCTCTGTTCTGAGGAAACAACATTTTTTATTAATACTGTCTTGACCACAGTGATTCTGAATGGGATTTTAATTAGCTGGTGCACGGTGTTCTGATGAGAAAGATTGCAGTGTCTGCATCCCTTTAGAAGTGATTATCCTTTAGGGTGTATCTCACAAAAAATGACATTTCTGTTGCAGAGGATGCCTAAAACTTGAGACTTGTACCATACAGCAAAGCTCTTAAAGCAGGAAATTACAGTTCTGAGGCATTCTGTACCCAGCGTACAGAACACCTCCAAGTTGCCATATTGCATTACTGTTTACAGAAAATGACTGCTGCAAACTGAAAAAAGAAAGGTAATTTTTAATGACAACTTGCAATATGGCTTGTGTAGCAATTTTATATACCATTTTTTTATTTGATCTTTTTTTAACAAAAAGTGGAGTTACCCTTTAGGTTCTTTAAAATTGAGTGACATAAGTTTTCAAGCTGAACTATGGAATACATGAAAACATTCTCTATAAGAGCCAAAAGTAGATGTACATTGTAAAGCTCCTAATAAGTTTCATTAAAACTGCCCCAGTTAGTAGAAATTTACCTTAAAAAAAAAAAAATCACTCTCATTGAAAAATGCAGCTTTGGTTTGGCACCTGGAGGTGGTAGCATCGATGTGGAGATGTCACACCCACTCCCGGTATGAAAAACTAGAAACCGCAATGGGAATTGTAGTTGTGACCAAGCGCCACTGGGGGAGATAAAAGGAATTGTATGTTAGCAAGACACACCAGAAGTCTCCTGAGCTCTCCAATCAGTCTCAAGAGTCTCCTGGACTCCCAGGACAGCCCAGTGAGCAGAGAATTATTAATTACATCCCCCAATTGCTGCAAAGAGAACTACAATGGGGAATTTACAAAACCGACTGCCATCAGTCTTATGAAATGGATGTTAAGGGGAGAGAAACCTTTACATTAACCACTTGCTCTCCAAAAGATTTTCCCCCCTTAACCGCCTCCCGCCCGCCATATAAGGAAATGACGGGAGCGCAGGAGTTCTCTCGTTCTGTGAGGACGTCATATGACGTCCTCCCGCTCTAACCGTGCCAGCGTGCCCCCTGGCGATCAGTGGGACACAGCGGATCACCGATCAGTGGAAAGAGCCAATGGCTTGAGCTCTGTCATGTGATCAGCTGTGTCCAATCACAGCTGATCGCATGTAAATAAGGAAATGCCGGTTATCTGCATTCCTCTCAAGAGCTGTCACGCTGACAGGAGAGGAGCCGGAATCGATTCCTCAGAGGGACACACTGATGATCAGTGTAGACACTGATGATCAGTGCCCTGCTGATCAGTGTAGCCCCATAAATGCCACCTGTCAGTGCCCATCAATGCCACCTACCAGTGCCCATCAATGCCACATATCAGTGCCCATCTGAGCTGCCTTTCAGTGCCAACTATCAGTGCCACCCAACAGTGCCATATAGGAGTACTGCCTTTCTGTGGCCATCAGTGATGTCGGTCAAAGCCCACCAGTGCCACCTGTCAATGCCCATCAGTGCCACCTACCAGTGCCTTCTCATCAGTGCCCATCACTGCAGCCTCATTAGCGCACATCAGTGAAGGCAAAAAATTACTCATTTACAAAATTGTATAAACAGAAACTGAGAAAAACATTTTTTTTTTTCAATGTTTTTTGGTTTGTTTAGCAAAAAATAAAAAACCCAGTGGTGATTAAACCGTGGTGATAAAATACCACAAAAGAAAGCTCTGTCTCAAAAAAATGCTAAAAATTTCATATGGGTACAATGACCGCACAATTGTCAAAGTGCTGAAAGCTGAAAATTGGCTTGGGCAGGAAGAAGGTGAAAGTGCCCGGTAGGCAAGTGGTTAATGACTAGGACATTTTGTTTGCCATTTGGTACTGCGCTAGTTCAACTGGTAATTGCGCGTTCATGCAATGCTGTACCCAAACAAAGTTTGTGTCTTTTTTTCCCACACAAATAGAGTTTTATTTTGTTGGCATTTGATCACCACTGGGTTATTTTTTGTGATATAAAATGGAAAAAAAAAAAAAAAAAAAATTGAAGAAAATCACGATATTTTCTACTTTCGGTTATAAAAGTGATCCAGTAAACTCAAAGTTGGTCATAAATTTAGGCCAAAATGTATTCTGCTACATGTCTTTGGTAAAAAAAAAAAAAAAAACCCCAATACGTGTATATTCATTTGTTTGCATGAAAATTACAACGTCTAAAAACTATGGTATAGAGAACATAAGGTAGTGGCATATGCGGATGATTTGATGTTTTATGTTGGAAACCCTAGAACAGCACTTCCAAATTTAATGAAAGCATTGAGGGAGTACGGAGATCTGTCGAATCTGAAAATTAACCCGACAAAGACTGAAATCTTAAACATAAACTCAAAAATAGCGAAAAGGAAAAATTACAAGAGGAATTCCCCTTCCTTTGGAGAGATAAAGAACTAAAATATCTAGGAATAAAACTATCAGCCTCAATGAAGAACCTATATAAAGCAAATTATATAAAACATTATTAAATGAGATTGAGGAGCTGAGGAGAGTAGGAAATGGAAATCCATCATGGATAGGTCGTATAAACTTGATAAAGATGGTAATTGTCCCCAAAGTATTATACAGATTTCAAATGATCCCAATCAAACTCCCAGAGGCATACTTTAAAGAACTTAGGAAAATGATAATAAAATGTATATGGAGGATAAAAAACCTAGAATAGGTTATTAAACGTTGACTAGAAGTAAAGAAAGAGGAGGATTGGGGCTACCAGACTTTAGGAGATATTACAAAGCGGGGATAATTGCGAGAATCTTTGACTGGATTCATAATCCAGAGAAAAGCTGGGTTAAAATAGAGACAGCACTGAGTGGAATAAGTTTAAGTAAAAGTATTTGGGTACCTTCACAATATAGGAATTAGAGGAGAGCACCAGCATGTACACTCTTAATGTTTTAAAAGAATGGGATTTACTACACAGACAAAAGGGGTGGGTTTTTAACTCACAATTAATACCACTTAGAAACACAAAATTTTTCACTCCGGGTAAGGAGAGTATAGCAGGGAAATGGATTATAAAACAGGAGGCGCAATTGAGAGATATAATGGTAGGAGAGGAAATAGGGTCATATAGGGACATGGAGGAAAAAAAGGGTGAAGTCTTTAATAAGATGGATAGACTAAGATATTACCAACTGAAGTACTTTTTTTGAAAGCCTTCCAAAGCCTATAAGAACTAGAAAAGATTGGAATCCATTTGAGAGAATATTTGAGTCACGAGGAAATGGTAGACACGGATTGGCAAAAATACACAAGATATTAATGGAATTTGACACAGACACAAAATTAACGCACATAGAGAAATGGGAAAGAGACATGGGAGAAAAATAGAGGAGGAGCAGAGGAAAATGTTCACATTAATTCACGAAAATATTAGTATGAGGGAAGTAGAAATAAATTTTAAGTGTTTGAATAGATGGCATATTACCCCCAACGTGGAGCACAAGATGAACATAGAAATATCACGGATGTGTTGGAGAGGTTGTGGAGAGGAGGGCACATGGTATCATGTCTGGTGGGAGTGTTCAGAAATACAGGTGTTCTGGCGGAGGATAGTTCATTTGATAGGGAAAATCACTAAAATTAATATAGTATTAGATCCAGAATTATGTCTCCTCCATATCTCAGAACTCTCAGTGAAAACACATATAAGAGTTCGGGGATATGGCATTACTTGACCGCAGCAAAGAGTCTGATACCCAGGTTCTGGAAGAAAAGAGAGGTGCCAAATGAGGAGGATTGGATGGCTAGAGTAAACCAGATCTCTGGGACAGAAAGATTGTATTATACGCACGAGGACAAGCTGGAGTTATATAAAAAAAAATGGAAAGGCTGGGAAGAACACGGAGAAAAGGTGAAATATATGAAGAGATAATATTCCTGGAAGTTGGCTTAGAACTGGGATTTAGAAACAATAGAATAATATGGAGTTGAGAGTAAAGAGAATGTTGAGCATGGGAGGGGTTGGAGGAGATGGGGGGGGTGGAGGGGGGGGGGAATAGGGGAGGGGGGGGTAAGAAAAGAAAGTCATATACAGGGATAATTTATGTAAGAAGAGAAAACGTTTGTGATAATTATTTTAATAGAAATGGTGAAATGTTTTGTATATGAATTGGAAAATTAATAAATATTTATAAAAAAACAAAACAAAACTATGGTATATAAAGGAATTGACGCAGCTTTTACTTTGTACTGCCCTGGCATTTTAGCACCTCAAGAAATGTGATAGGCAGTTAGAAACACCCCCCAATGAC